GTGTTGATACTGTGTTGATACAATGTTGATACAGTGTTGATACAGTTAGCACAGGGCTAACTAGACATTGTCGCGCCCTCAGGCCACTCTCACGGAAGCTGGTTGAAACCATGACTTCGTGGAGAAAAGTCATACCTTTGACTTCAGCTCTGCTGAGTGTTTGATTCGAACTGATCGCTTTTAAATATTGATGAAAAATTAAAGCTTCCTTTCTGTCTCCTAGCAGCAGGTGAGTCGAGGACCCTTGCTACGTTGCCATGGTGTTCAAGAGTGCATCTTATTGGTGACTCAGCGGATGTTCAAGTATCCTGCACTTATTCAGCGCATTCTGGACAACACAACAGGTGAGTCATGCCAGTCATCTGCCTCCTTCTTTTCTCAGATCTACAATATACTAGAAAATTAAAAAATGCTGGTTTTCACATTTAGCTAACATTTATGGTTCCACACAACGAAGCAAAACCAGGCTTCATGGGAACCTTTTCCTCTTCTCCATTTTTCTGTTATTTACTGTAAACTTAACCCTTTAACACCCAGGGTAATATATTTGGTACGTGAAGCTTTTGTGAGTTGGATTTAGTAAATTAAAACTCATATATGCAAATTCATATTTATTTATTTCTTTTGAAAAAAATGTCAGAAGATGAAATTCAAGCTTCACAGTTTTACTGAAATGATGAATCTGATGATTGTTTCTATTTTATCCAGATGATGAAGAAGAAGCTTCCTCTGTGGCCCAGGCTCTGCTGATGATCAGAGAACTGCTTAGTTCAATAGACCAACAGGTACTGAAGTGTTTGCTCCCTGTGCAATAATCTGTGCGTCATTCATTCTCTTCATATTCAAATATCAGCAAACTCACAAAGAATTTGTTCTTTTCTAAATCTTACAGTCAGACATCAAGTACAAGTCAGTGCACTCATTCTTCCTAAATGACACTTAGATTAGGTCTTTAGATCTCTAGTTTCTAGCTTGTGCTAACAACCCAGCATTCATGTGTTCTCCTACCTCAGCTGTAAAGTGGACGACTTGTTTCACTAACCAGAGAGAGGATTTGTAGCATTTACAGGACAAACAATTCCCTGCTCTGTTCGACGGGCTCTAAACTTCCACACAAGTGCTTTTAGCTCATACTCGAGATCTTTGTTTATTTCTAAGACTGATTTACTTCTGTTTTTTATCTACTGAAAATCTCATTGCATTTCCTGTCTTACTACACTGTAATACAGTCATAATATGTAGTATTTATTAGTTTCAATAGAATAACATTTAGTAATAAGACCTTAGTTCTACTATTATTACTATTCCTCTACTTTTACTAAAAAAAACTCAGCTTCATTTTTAAACACTTAGACCATTAATGAGCTCAAAGCACACCACTAAAAACAGACAATGCATGAGAATGAATAATATTACATTAAGCACTAATATGGTTACTCAGGGTTAACTTTAGCAGGCACTGCCACACATGAGCTTCCTATCTCAGATGTTTCAGTGTGTTGTGAGAAAAATTATGATTTTAAAACAAGTCCCGTTTGTTTTTTGAACATCTCAGTTTCTCTCTGATGTCCTCATTTCTAACTTTGTCCATCCTGGTAACTCCAAATGAAAGCCTGACCATCCAGCACCTCCGGCTCCACCTCCTGTCAAACCATAGATGACAGCAGGTCTCGCTACCATTCTGTAAACCTTCCTGTTTATGTTGACTCCTGTCGTTCTGTCACAAATCCCCCACCACACTCAGCTCAGCCCACCCTGCCTGTCCTCTCGTCTTCATTCTAGTACACTGTCCATCCCCTGAGATGGTTCACCCTTGGTGCTTAAACCCATCTACCGTCACCATCTTTAATCTTTGTATGTCCATCTTTCCGCCTGACTCCCTCCAATTCACACACATTTATTTTGTCTAAGTGATGTTCAGAGCACACCTCCACCTCCATCACCGTTTCAAAATGGATCTTACAAATCTCCTTGTAACATCCGTTTTAGCCGACTCAGATTAGCTCGCTGGTTCATTCAGATGTTAATTTAATAATTATTAATAATAATAATTTGAAAGATTTGGTTGAAATTATGACTTTTGAGATGTTAAGATTAAAAATATGGTTTGATGTAAATAAATTATCTTTGAATCTGACAAAAACGAAATTCATGATGTGTAAAGGAGGAAGAAGTCATTATGAGCATTGATGGAGAATTGATTGATAGAGTTACTGAATTTCGTTTTTTGGGTGTGTTGATGAAAATTTGACGTGGAAATGACACATTGAGTATATTAGAAAGAAGATGGTTAAAAACATTTATATTTTGGGAAATGTAAGAGATTTATTAGACTATAAAACAATG